TATAATTTTAAATATTTTTAAAAAATTAAGATTTTAATTGCGATTTCCGACCCCCCTAATTAATTAAATTTATATATAATAAAATCTATTAATTAAAAAAATTAAAAAACTATTGGAGGTCGTTTTTGACATCAGAAAGTAGCTTTAAATAACTTTACTGAAGGAAAATCCGTGCGCTAGAACTTTAGAACGATGAATTAAATTTGATAAAAAAATCCCATTAAAAAACAATTAAGCCTTAATCGAGCCTTATCAAAGGCTAATTAAGAGAGAAAGTTCTAGAAGAAATTTTTTGAATAAAGAAATAAAAAGAAACTTAAAACTAATTCAAATAAAAATACACAAAATATCTACACAATCATGGCTGACAGCCACATTCCAAGTGAAAACTATAAATCAATATTTTTCATTTTCCATAATTATTATACATTTTTTTAACAATTAACTTTGAACAAAAAGTCTTCTAGCAATTTAATATTATTTTCATAAAAATTCAGTATTATTAATTTTCGATATAACACTATTACTCTATATTATTCATTGTCATTTCACAAATATACTGTACTGTAATTAATCATTTTTTTATTTTTCCTAATTATGCCATTTTTAACAATTAACTTTTAACAAAAAAGTCTTCTAGCAATTTAATATTATTTTCATAAAAATTCAGTATTATTAATTTTCGATATAACACTATTACTCTATATTATTCATTGTCATTTCACAAATATACTGTACTGTAATTAATCATTATTTTTCCAATTAAAATTATTATTCATTATTCTTGATTATTAAATTATATTATTCATTTTTCTATCATTATTATGTTGTATTATGTTAATTGCTTTAAGGTTACTTTACAATAATAATCTTCTGTCTGCTGTTTGTCTAATAAGTTTTTTGTGCATTCAGCATATTACAATAAGCCTAGAATCAATCAGACTAATTGAACAAACTGAAATTCACTTTCTTAATTGTCCAAAGCTCTATGGGCTGAGTGAAGGTCTAGTGTAGTTCTTTCCCA